ACCTGTTAATTCAGCCAGTCTTCTCTGGAGGGTAGTTCCACTGTATACTTTTTGTTAAAAGTACATACCCGCCTTTAGTGTTAATTATATTAATATAAAATAATGAAATCTACATAGCGATTGAACAAAACAAATTTTACGAATTTTACTTTACACATTTACTATAAACTTTTTAATTATTGTTTCGGGCGTTTTCCAGCACGTCACAAGGGGGGCTGAGGTGTTGGCTAATAGGTAGCCACATTCGGTTTTTAAATTCGAAGAAACATCGGGAATAAATATGATAACATCTAAAAAATTCCATGTCATTTATCGTGTTGTATTCGCATAAATAATAAGAAATCGTTATGGCTTTATATAGTTTGTCCTTTGCCAAGTTTAAAGAAAGTTATATAAACGTTTTTAGTTATATTCCTTTCACAAAAACATATCCCAGCAAAAGTAACACGTAAATAAACATAAGTTAATGTTGCAGAAAATATTTCGCAGTTTGTGAGTAACAAGAGTCCATATGTCATCTTTAGCTTTTGTAGTAATCAATTTCGTATCGTCAGAATAAATGAGGTATTATGCGAACATCAATAATTTAACGTTGTTTTGCTTGGATTGAATGTGATCAAAGGAAAAACTGTAGATAAATGAGTCCTTTTTATATAAGCAACTTGGATATTTTTCGGAAAAATATTTTGTTTCATTTCACACTAGATTCTTTCTATAAGTAAATGGCGTCGGAGTACCCAGACTTTAACAAAAATATCAGTGGCAAGCAAAAACTTCTATGTAAACTACTCTACCGCTCTGGTAATTCTGAACAATAACTGTGTCACAGCTTGGGATCGCGCGGGCAGGCAGTTGGCACGCTACGAGTATTTATTTATTTAATCTTGTTTTGTTGACACCTTAATAACAAGGGTAACTAAGGGCGGACTTAATGCCTTTTTTATAGGAGAGGGGGCAAACGAACATGCGGCTCACCTGATGGTAAGTGACTACCGCCGCTCATGAACAACAACAATACCAGGAGAATTGCAGATGCGTTGCCGGCCTTTTAAAATGGAGTCGGCTCTTTTCTTGAAAGTCCCAAAGTCGTATCGGTCCGGAAAAATCGCTGGTGGTAATCGATTCCACAAGGAAGTTGTGCGAGGAAGAAAACTTCTCCTTAATCGCACAGTGGTGGACCGCCAATCATCCAGTTGGTATGGATGGTATCGCGAGTTTTGTCGTAATGTGCGATGGTGAAATTGAGCGGCTGAAATGACATTCTCTGCCGGTCAACCTGTGGAGTGATGAGATTTTGTGGCAGGTGCAAATACATATATATATATACTAGCTGGCCAGGCAGACGCTGTTCTGCCCATTTCGACGACCCTTCATATAAAAAAAACCTTATATTCGTAATAAAAAAATATTGAGTGTCACTTATCAGGATAAAAACTATCCTTTCTATCAAGTTGGACCAAACTGCACGGAGTGTACAAAATTTCATTGAAATCTGTTCAGTAGTTTAAGAGTTCATCGCGGACAAACAACGTGACACGTAATTTATATATATATATATATATATATATATATATAAATTTTATTTATTTATTTATCTTCACGCACAATCCCTGACGGGGTAGCCAGAGAGAACAGATCGCCAAGTGTCACAATCCTTACAAACCTCTTTCGCTTCTTTCAGATTCATTATCTTCTTCATGCATGCACGTCTAGGTATCCGAGTACTCTTGACCCTACCCTCTTCGAGCAATTTGCTCACATGGTCTTCGAAAGTTAGTCTCGGTCTACCTCGACACCTTTTGATATTACCTTTCGCGCTATATATTTTCTTCACCATTCGGTCTTCACTCATTCGCTCAACGTGCCCAAACCACCGAAGCACGCCCTTATCAATTTTTGTGATAAGGTCATCTTTCAAACCTGCCATATTGCGAATCTCTTCGTTTCACTTTCGGTCGGCCATGGTAACGCCGCACATTTTACGAAGAGATCGCATCTCCACTGCATTCAACTTACTTTTATGCTTCTTCTGGCATACCCAGGTTTCGCTGCCATATAACAAAGTCGGTACCAACACTGCGTTATGTATTGCAAGGCGTGCACTCTTCGCTACGCTTTGCCTTTTGACTAACGCAGTCAGGGCACCATTGACTTTGTTCCCGGCAGCGACACGCCTGTCCACATCTAAATCACATCTTCCATCCCGGCTAAAAGCACTCCCCAAGTATACAATTTCATTTACCTGTTCTAGACATTCTTGATTTACCCATATTTCACACTTCGTTCTCTCTTCGTCCCTTTCAAATACCAGAACCTTAGTTTTATTAGCATTCAAACGGAGACCTTTAATTTCACATTCCTCTTTCATACACGTGACTAATGCCTGCAGTTCTGCCTCTGATGGTGCAATAAGCACTGCATCATCAGCATACAGCAGACAATTTACTTTTATGTCACCCAATTTCACACCCAAACAGCTATCTTTCAGCTTCTGTAAACAGCTGTCGAGATACAGTATGAACAGCCAGGAAGACATGACACAACCCTGCTTTACGCCCGTTTGGACGTTAAACATGGGTGACAGGTCATGCCCTACCCGCACACAGGCTTTACAGTCACAGTAAAGAGACTGTACAGCCCTTAGCAATCGACCATCCACACCATACCCCGGCAACAGTTCCCACATTTTCTTCCTTACAACCTTATCAAATGAATAGAATAGAATATTTTTATTCAATAAAACATTACATGTGTAATTCTTATTGAAAGTCATTTTTTACTTTACCACTGGTTCGAAAAAAACCCTCTGTCCTGGGGAGAACCAGCAAGAAACCCAGCGGGACTTTTTTTTTAAATAAATTTTACAATATAAATGATTACGAACTATTTACAAAATTTATTTTAGAAACTGCTTGGAAGCGATCACCTCATTCCCAGGGGTTATTATCAACCATGTATTCATTTATACTATAATAACCCTTTTTATACAGTTTCAGCTTAATAAAACATTTAAACTTGGTAATAGAGAGAACCTGTACACTTTCCGGGACCTTGTTGTAATAGCGTATACATTGTCCCAAGAATGAATTACTGACTCTGTGGAGTCGAGAAACTGGTATCACTAGCTTGTGTTTGTAAATTGTAATGCTTTCTCAAGATCCACAAAAGCACAGAAAATCTTCTGGTTAGCAGCCAGAAGCTTTTCCGTGATCATGCGGAGAGAAAACATTTGATCCGTGCATCCTCTTCCAGGTCTAAATCCGCATTGTGCCTCCCATAGAATTCTTTCCGATTTCTCTTGCATCCTACGTGTCAAAACCTTCGAGTAAACTTTACTTGCTAAACTGGTCAAGCTGATCGCCCGATAGCACCCGCAATGTGAACCTTTACCTTTATATAAAGGCACAATGACTGCGGATCGCCAATCATCCGGGACATCCCCCGTCCGCCAGCACAAATTGCACAGCAGATGAAAGCTGTCCCAGACACGAGGCCCACCATACTTGACCATTTCAGCAGTAACTCTGTCTAGTCCCGCAGCTTTACCACATTTCAAACTTCGAATCGCACGTTCAATCTCTTTCATACTGATGACCTCAGTGTCATCGAGGTCCGAGTCTGGCGTACCAGTCACGGCGTCATCCCCGGATCCCTCACTAAGATCATCACACGCATACATTTCTCTATAAAATTCGCTCCATCGCTGCATGACGTCCGATTTTTCTGAGAGGACGTCATTAGTTCTCGAAAGCACTTTGTTCATTCTCAAGGCCGTCGCACCACTTCGGGTCCTTCCAACCTCTTTCCAGAAGAGTTTGGAGTTCTCCTTAAAGTTGTGCGACAACCTTTCGTCTGCTTCCATTCTACACCTTTCACGCGCTTCCTCAATCAGTGCTTTCGTGTGAACTTTCTGCAGCCTATATCTTTCTTTCATCTTCTCTCTCATATCCTTATCATTACTAGAGGCCAAGTAGTCTAACCATGCTTTCTTCTTCTTCTTTACAGCTTCTTTCACTTCATCATTCCACCATGCATCTCTTCTTTTACTACTGCCTCTTTTTATTGTTCCACACACTTCTTCCGCTGCACTTACCATTCTATCCCTAAGGTTCTGCCATGTTCTTTCTACACATTCGTTTCTGCCATCGATGGTGTCAAGCTTTTCGGCTACCCTCGCATGATATTTGTCCCTAGTATCCGCTTCCTGAAGCTTCTAGCTTCGGATGCGACAGACCGACTGTGGTTCTGTTACTGCCGTCCGGTATCGCCAACCCGCGAACAGACCCCTAAATCTAGTAATCACTAGATAGTGATCCGTTCCCAGGTCAGCACCCCTGAACACTCGCGTATCCATAAAAATATATATATATATATATATATATATATATTTATATATATATATAAGACAATTCGTGTAATTTATAGGGAATCGGTGAAATAAACGTTTGTGTTGCTCTGAAAAAACAAAGTTTTATTAGTATAAATTATTTGTACATTTGTATTTTTCACTTAACTACACCTTACAATAATCACTAAACATACCTGAAAAAACAAAGAAACGACATTAAAAGTTATTACACTTGTCGATTCCCTTTATTAGTTATTTTATTATTATCCGATTGTTTACGTGTATTACAATTTTAACATTTTCCTTACGCCATCTTCGAAACCGTCTGCTTTATCTACAGTCCACTCAAATACTTTGACAGCGCCATCTATCAAGTAGCGAAGTAAATTGTTTCTGCTTTATCGACTAACCATAAAAGAATTTAATAAACAATAACAAAACTTAAAGAAATGTAATTTCTTTACAACTCCTCCCCCAGGACAGAAAATTTCATCGAAATTTTCGGTAACAATACCTAAACTTACTTACAATTATTATAATAGTTATAACTAAATCACACTCGTTGTACATCATGTTCTTAACTCGGTTCTTTATTTAGGAACTGGAATGAGCTTTGTGACGTGAAAAAGGTTTGACTCGGATTTTCTGTGTCCTATTTTCTGTGTCCTGTATCTATTCTATATATTGAAGATGATATTTTTTCTTCAATTTTAAAAGGTCCAATCCTTAGCTCATCCAGTTTTTTCCTATTTAATTTATGTCCATTCTCAACATATACCAAATCACCCCTATTAAAACTATAGTCTTTTCTTTTTCTGTCAATCAACATTTTATTATAGTTATGAGATTTTATTGTATTTTGTAACGCTTTTTTCCTATCTTCAATCCATTCCTCTATTCTTTTGCCTTGTTTTAATTCATTTGGCACAATTGTAACATCTGTCCTATCTAGTAGGTATCTCGGTGCGAAGCCAGTGACCGTATGCTCCGTGTCGTTGTATTTACTTACGCAGTTATGAGCAATTGTTGTCCATGCTATGGTGTTAGGTTTTTCATTTATCTGGCATCTTATTTTGTTGACAAGCGTTTGATTTAATCGCTCATTTAAGCCATTTGAAAATGGTGAATTTACTGCAGTGAAAACTAGCGCAATTGATTTGTCATTCAAAAACGTCTTAAGTTCCTTTGAATTTATTCCAGGGTACTGGTCTGCGAGAATAATATCGATATCATTTAAGTTCGTTATATTACTAACCAGTTTTATGAAGTCCTTTGCATTCTGTGTCTTCGAGGTTAGTACATATGCGTAACGAGTGAAGTGATCCACTAGAAGATGTAGATATCTCTGCGTCGACCGCGAGCCTCCGAAGCCTCCAATTGTGTCTATGGAGATAATTTCAAATGGTTTTGTGGCGGGTCCTAAGTGTGACACTAGGCCATATTTAGCTTGTCCTCTTGTTTTATTCTTTATACATATATCGCAAGTTTTACAAATATTATTTATGTTTGCTGTTAATTTTTTTGCTGTATATCTTGTACCAATTGCTTTTTGCATCTGTCTTACACCTATGTGACACATATTTTCATGAATATTTTTTATAAATTTAAACTGAAATCTTCCGACAGTATTATTTTTTCATGTTTTTTTACTTTTTTATAAAATATGTTGTTTTTGTATGTCAAATTATTCTTGTTATCATGTATATTTTTATTTTTTTCTTGATCTGTGATGATATCTTCTAATTTTACCAAATTTACTATTTTTAATTGTTCATCAATATCTTCATTTTCATTCAGTACCGGGTTTCTGCTTAAGCAATCTGCTTCCAAATTTTCTCTACCTGGAGCATATTTTATCTGAAAGTCATACTGCGATAAATAATACACTAGTTCTCCCAATTCTTCATCAGGTCTAGATTTAACATTCATGTTCTCCAACGGTTTGTGATCTGAATATACTGTGAATGGTTTCCCTATTAACCAATATTGCCAAGATCGTACTGCTTCGTTAATAGCCAGACATTCTAAGTATATTGATTTCTTCTTCTTTTGGGATTCATTTAATTTTCTTGAAAAATAGGCTACTGGCTTTGCTTTTCCGTCTGGCTGAATTTGTTTTAGCACTGCTCCTATACCTTCCAATGATGCATCTGTGTATATATTTACTGGCAAGTTTTGATCATAAATTTCCAAGATGGGTTGGGAGCAAAGTAAATCTTTTATTTCTTCAAATGAATTTTTACAGTCCGTTGACCAAATGAATTTTTGATTTTTCCTCTGTAAATTATATAGGGGCTCTAATATAATTGTGCTCTTGGGTATGTATTCATGGTAGAAATTAATTTTCCCCAAAAATTGTCTGACATTTTTCAGAGTTTTTGGCGTAGGGAATTCTCTTATTGAAATTAAATTATCTCTGACTGGTCGAACTGTATTATTTTCTATTATGTGTCCAAGATATTTTACAGAATTCGACGCAAACGTACATTTTGTAAATTTTAGTCGAAATCCTTCTTGTTTTATTGCTTCCAGTAATTGTGATAAATGGTTTATATGTTCATTATAAGACTTTGAAAACACCAGGATATCATATATATAATTAACAGTAAAATCAGTTAATTGATGTTTTCTTAGTATGTTGCTCAGGATTCTTTGAAATATTGCGGGAGAGGTTTTCAAGACGAAGGGTAGACACGTCCATTGAAAGTGGCCTTCTTGTGTAACAAAAGCTGTTTTTTTTCTGTCTTCTTTTCGCAGTGAATTTCGCAGTGAAATTTCGCAGTGATTCGCAGTGGGATGGACCAAAATGCAGAGTTAATATCTAATGTTGAGAAGTACTTGCAGTTTCTTGTTTTTATTACCAAGTCTTCAATTAACGGGAATGGTTGAGCTTGTGGTGTTACTATTTTGTTGAGATCTCTGAAATCAATACATAATCTGTTTCTTTTATTATCTTCTTTCTTAAAAGCTAAAGTTACAGGTGCTGCAAACGGGCTGTATGATTCTTCTATAAGATTTTTTGAAGTAATTTTGCCACCTGTTCTTCTATCTCTTTTTTGTCCTCCATTGAACATCTATAGGGCCTTTTACTACAGTATTTGTCCGTTAGGAGGTCGATATGTGCTTCATAGTCTCTTACTGTTCCAATTTCGTATTTATCCTTCGCAAAACTCGATTTATATTTGTCAATCAGTGTATTTATTTCAAATTCTTGTTGAGCATTTAAATTACCCATTTTTATCTCAAAATTTTTTTCATTTACATGTTGGTTGAAATTTATAGAGAATTTATTAGAGTAAAATTGTGCATTACTCTTACCTTCCTTAGAAGTCAATTTCTCATTTAGTTCCATATCAGTGTTGTCTTTGGTTTTTTGTGTGATTTCCAGGTTTTCATTCTGAACTAATCTAAACTCTTTTATCATGTCTAGTCCAATAAGGAAATCATATTGAAAATCTTTTCCATCCACAATATACACGTCGCATTTTTTTTCTATGTTTAGTATTTTAATCTTTATTGTTGTCAAACCTCCTGTACTCTTCACACCATTAATTGTTACTAAATTTGCATTACTAAACTCTCTTTTTCCTTCTTCTTGTTTTAGTTTTACTAATTTGGAATTAATCAAGGACACATTAGATCCTGAATCATATATGCCAAAAACGTTTAGTTTTTCATCTAATGTAAGTTTGACTTTGATTAATGGTGTGATTGTTAGTTTTTTGGATCTTTATCATTTAATTCAAGATCTAATATAGTATTGTTTATATTCCTGTAGTGATTTCTCTTGTTTTCTTGTTGCTCACTTTTTTTAAACCAGCATTTTTCTTCTGGGTGATAACGAGTTCCCTTGTTCAAATTTTCACAGATTTTGCAGGCTTGATATTTATCAGATTTTCCTTTATTTTCAAATGTGTCTTGTTTTGGTTTATAATAGGTATGTTTATTTGTTGTATGCTCAAATTTACCAATTTCATTGAAAAGACTTGCAGTGGATGTAATAGATTCCTTATCAATTTTGCCCAATATGTAATCTGGTAGGCCAGTTGCGATAAGATTTATCATCGTCTGTGTATCTATGTGTTTATTTACTTCTAATAACAGCCGTTCCTTTTTCGTAGCATATTCCAGTGCTGAACCCGCTTGAAATTTATAGGCAAATGCATATTTAACCTGTGACCAACCTTTATTTCCGTATGTCTCAGTAAAGTTATTTTTCCAAACAGTCCATTCTGAATTTACAGTGAATTTTATCAACATACTAGTGTACCAATCATGGCATTGTTTCTCTAGTAGATGCTTTAAAGTCTCAATTTTCTCTGTATCCTGTAGTATTTCGAATCGTTCACACTCATTCTCAAATTCACCTATCCATTGATTCACATTGGAATTTTTTCCTGAAAATTTCTCAATTAAAAATTTTTCAGATGTTTTTCCTAGGTTTTTATTTCCAGACCCGACGTCGCAGTTTTTGTGAACTAGTGGTCTGGATTCCTCTGCAATTTCATCTAAATATTGATCTCCAAACTGCAAATTTTCGCCTTCATCTAAATAGATTTTTTTCAATTCCGGAGATAATGGAATCCACAATTTACGTATTTGATGTCTTTTTTTTAGAGAATTCTTGACCTTCGTGAATACCTCTGTGCTCACAATACTCGTGTGTTTGCTTGCAGGCTTCATTTCGTCCGGAACATTATAATTACGTCCATCGGGTGTTTCAATTGAGGTTATGCAGATTACATTTGTTTTGCCATCACTTGCCGCTAATACCGCAAAAGTAAATCTTAACTTCTCCATTTTCTTTAACTAGAAATGTCGTTTTATAAGACAATTCGTGTAATTTATAGGGAATCGGTGAAATAAACGTTTGTGTTGCTCTGAAAGAACAAAGTTTTATTAGTATAAATTATTTGTACATTTGTATTTTTCACTTAACTACACCTTACAATAATCACTAAACATACCTGAAAAAATAAAGAAACGACATTAAAAGTTATTACACTTGTCGATTCCCTTTATTAGTTATTTTATTATTATCCGATTGTTTACGTGTTTTACAATTTTAACATTTTACTGACGCCATCTTCGAAACCGTCTGCTTTATCTACAGTCCACTCAAATACTTTGACAGCGCCATCTATCAAGTAGCGAAGTAAATTGTTTCTGCTTTATCGACTAACCATAAAAGAATTTAATAAACAATAACAAAACTTAAAGAAATGTTATTTTTTTACATATATATATATATATATATATATATATATATATATATATATATATATATATATATATATATATCCATTCTGTATATATATACAGAATGCAATACGCAAGCTTTCCCCATCAAGTAATGTGCCGAGATTACTTGATGGTAAAGCGTGTAACCAGTGACTAGATTCCTTATTCGAAACAGCTAGAAGACTTGCCTTATCTTGTTCACTATGGAAATTATGAAACAAATCTTTCTGCACGCCCCGTACCAACAGAATATCCCACTGTTTTTGTTGGTTAAAATCCAGTGGAACATTTTCACCGAGACAGAGCGTTTGCATATCTGCCCTGCCTCCGTAGCAAAGCATAGGTCTACTTTATTTTTTAAAATTATGTTACATAAGTCACTGAGACTATGCATGGAAGCAAGGAAAGCAGGCAATGCAACGCTAGAAAGATTTCTCACACCAATGCCACCAAATTTTATAGGTAAATTAGCTTGAGACCAGGCTGTTGTATTTAAAGTTAAATTTAGAATTTTTTCTATAGCTATTGTAAGATTATTATCAATATCTTTTAAAATATCCGAACATTTCCAGACTGGACTCGAGCGAACTAAGTATGTAAATCTAGGTACAAGGAGACAATATTTTAAAATATTAAGAGCTATGTGGGGGTTTAATTTAAACAATTTATCAACGTGCTTTAAAAACTGATCAAATATTGTTTATAAAACAGGTTTAATACTATCGAAAAACAACGGGGCACCTAGCAGGTATAGTGATTCCACACTGACAGTTTTTATTCCTCGAGAAACATGATTGAAATTTTGAATTAAACTGTCTCTCTGAGAAGTAGATAAATTATTGGAAAAAATATTTTGGCTCAAGACAAATATTTTTAAAATTTCGAAAAATATGAGTTATATCACTGAGGACGTCATCTGCTCTACCTCCCAGTGTACCATCGTCCAGGTACCAGACATTCAGCTTGGATTACAAATTTGAAATAATGGGTTGCATTCCCAAACTGAAAAGTGCTGGACCTAGTGGGTCACCCTGCTGAACACTGACAGCAGAATCGATAACATGGTTTTCGTAAAACAAGTTAGTATTTCGACTATAACATTGCCAAACGTAGTGATAAATTTCGGGGGTATTGTTAGCTACTCCTTTCAGCAAATTTATCGATAGAGTTAAAAGCATTCCTTAAGTCAACATTCACAAGAACGTCTGCATCATAATTTGTTAAAAATGTGCGCACTGAATGTACCGCCGTCTCACAGTCACCTCTAGTGCCAAAGCCTTGTTGAGTAGGCTGAAATTTGCTCTTAAGGTTAGA